TATATTTAGGTCCTTGATCCACTTTGAGTTAATTTCTGTATATGGTATTATTTTTTACATGTGGATATCAGGTTTTCCCGGCACCATTTGTTGAAAAGACTGTCCTTTCTCCATTGAGTGGTGTCTGTATCCTTCTTGAATGTCATTTGACCATATACACAAGGATTTATTTCTGAGCTCTCTATTCTATCTCACTGGTCTTTATATCTGTCTTTATGCCGGTACCACACAATCTTGATTGATGTAGCTTTGCACCAAGCTTTTTTTTTTTTTTTTTGGAGACAGGGTCTCACTATGTCGCCCAGGCTGGAGTGCAACCGCACAATCATGGCTCACTGCAGCCTCAACCTCCCAGGTTCAAGGGATCCTCCCATCTCAGCTTCCCAAGTAGCTGGGACTACGGGGTACACACCACCATGCCCAGTTAATTTTTGTATTTTTTAGTAGAGATGGGGTTTTGCCATGTTGTCCAGGGTGGTCTTAAACTCCTGGGCTCAAGTAATCCTTCTGCCTCAGCCTCCCCAAGTACTGGGATTACAGGTGTTAAGCTACCATGCCCAACCTGTATGATGAAGTTTTGAAACCAGGAAGTGAGTCCTCCAACCTTTTTATTCCTTTTCAAGATTGTTTTGGCCATTTGGCATCCTTTGAGATTCCCAAATGAATTTCAGAATCATTTTTCTATTTTTGCAAGCAATGTTGGAATTTTGACAGGCTTGCATTGAATCTATCTCTTTGGGCAATACTGACATGTTAACAATATTAAGTCACCCAGTGGACAAATGTGATGTTATTACATTTAATTATATCTTTTTTAATTTTTCTCAAAAATGTTTTAAACAAATCTTTCATCTCCTTGGTTAATTCCCCAATATTTGATTCTTCTTGATGCTATTACAAATGAAACTGTACTCTTAGTTTCTTTTTTAGATTTTTATTGTCAGGGCTTAGAAACAAGGGATTTTTGCCTGTTGATTTTATATGCTGCCACTTCTTTGCTGAACTCATTTATTAGTTCTAGCAGGGGCTTGGTGGGGGGTGTGTGTGTCATCTTGAGGGTTTTCTTTTCCTCTTTTTTTTGGAGACAGAGTCTTGCTCTGTCCCCCAGGCTGGAGTGCAGTGGCACGATCTTGGCTCACTGCAACCTCCATCTCCCAGATTCAAGCAATTCTCCTGCCTTAGCCTCCAAAGTAGCTGGGACTACAGGCACATGCACCTCGCCCGGCTTTTTTTTTTGTATTTTAGTGGAGGTGGGGTTTCACCGTGTTGTCCAGGCTGGTCTTTAACTCCTGAGCTCAGGCAATCCACCAGCCTTGGCCTCCCAAAGTGCTAGGATTACAGCCATGAGCCACTGCACCTGGCCCAGGGTTTTCTATAATACATGTAAGTCATCTCAACTGCAAACAGATAATTTTACTTCCCTCTGTCCAATTTCAATGTTTTTTTTTTTTCTTACTTGCTTTGGCTAGAACTTCCATTACCATATTAAACAGATGCCACAAAACCAAGCATCCTTGTCTTCTTCATGAGCTTAGAGGAAAAGCTTTCAGTCTTTCACCATTGAGTATGATGTTAGCTCTGGGCTTTTCACATATGGTTCTTACGTTGAGGTAATCTCCTTCTATACCTAGTTTTACCGTGTTTTTATCACAAAGGGGTATTGACTTTTGTCAGATGCTTTTTGTGCACTGAGATGATCATGTGGTTTTTGTCCTTAACGTAGTATATTACACTGATTGATTTTCATATGTTGAACCACTCTTGTAATCATGGGATAAATCCTACTTGGTCATGGTACACAATCCTTTTAAATATGCTGCTGAATTCCACTGGCTAGTATTTTGTTCAAGGTTTTTTGCATCGATGTTCATAAGGGATACTGGCCTATAGTTATCTTGCAGTGTCTTTCTGTTTTGGGTATCAGGGTAATGCTGGCCTTATTGAGTTAGAAAGTGTTCTTTTTTCCCCACATTTTTGGAAGAGTTTGAGAGGGACTGGTTTTAGTCTTTTAAGTGTTTGGTAGAATTTACTGGTGATGCTATCATGTCCAGGGCTTTGCTTTCTCAGGAGGTTTTGGAATACTTAATCTCCTTACTAGTTAGAGATCTGTTTGGATTTTCTCTTTATGATTTAGCTCTGGTATTTTGTTTTTCTAGGAATTTGTCCATTTCATGCAGATTATCCAATTTGTTGTCCTACAATACTGATCATTTTTGGGCCGGGCGCGGTGGCTCAAGCCTGTAATCCCAGCACTTTGGGAGGCCGAGACGGGCGGATCACGAGGTCAGGAGATCGAGACCATCCTGGCTAACACGGTGAAACCCCGTCTCTACTAAAAAATACAAAACACTAGCCGGGCGAGGTGGCGGGCGCCTGTAGTCCCAGCTACTCGGGAGGCTGAGACAGGAGAATGGCGTGAACCCGGGAGGCGGAGCTTGCAGTGAGCCGAGATCCGGCGGCAACAGAGCGAGACTCCGTCTCAAAAAAAAAAAAAAAAAAAAAAAAACTGATCATTTTTACAGTACTGATCAGTTTTATTTCCACAGTATCAGTAGTAATGCCATTTTCATTTCTAATTTTAGTAATTTGAGTCTTCTTCCTTTTATACTTCATCATTCTAGCTAAAGTTTTATCATTTTTGTTATTCTTCTTAAAGAACCAACCCTTGGTTTTGTTGATTTTCTCTACTGGTTTTCTACTCTCCGTTTTACACATTACAGTAATATAGTACTTGCAATTTTTGTATACAATAATATACAATTATGCTACTTGCAAACTACAAATTATTTTACAAATTACAGTAATTTACATATATTTGCAAGTTACAATAATTACAAGTTACAGTAATAATATTTTACAAATTATCTTGTTACAATAATACTAGCTTTTATAGTGGTCCCTGTATTTGCCTTTATCAGAAATCTTTACTTCCTTTTCTCCAATGGTTGTGCGTTACTGTCTAGTGTGCTTTCATCTCAACCTATAAGACTCCCTTTAGTATTTCTTGCGGGTCAGATCTAGGGATGAAAAACTCTCGCTTAAGTGTTTGGTAGAATTTACTGGTGATGTTATTATGTCCAAGGTTTTGCTTTCTCAGGAGGTTTTTGATTATTTACTCTCCTTACTAGTTAGGGGTTTATTCAGATTTTCTATTTGTTTTTTGCAAGTTACAATAATTACAAGTCACAGTAATAATATTTTACAAATTACCTTGTTACGATAATACTAGCTTTTATAATGGTCCATGTATTTGCCTTTATCAGAAAGGCAAATTGATTGCCTGGGCACTGTCTTAATTTCTCCACTATTTTTGAAGGAGTTTTGCCAGATGTAGAATTCTTAACAGGTTTTCCCCCCACTTATGCATTTTGAATATATCAACCCACTGCCTTCTAGCCTCCGATGTTCCTGATGAGAGATCTGCTGACAATCTCAGTGGATGTATCCCCTGTATGTGGCAGGTCACTTCTCTCCTGCTGCTTTCAAGAGTGTCTCTGTCGTTACAGCGCGATTATAATGCATGTTCACGTGGGCCTCTGAGTTTATCCTGCTTGGAGTGTGTTGAGTTTCTTGGATGTTCTTGCATATATCACATCTGGGGAGTTTTCAGTCAAATCATCTGTCTGCTCCTTTATTTCTCTTCTCCTTCTGGAACTCCCACAATCTGTATCTTGGTCTACTTGGGTATGTCTCAGAGGTCCCTTAGATTCTGTTCATTTATCTTATGCTCTTTATTCCTCCTGTTCCTCAGACTTGCTAGTTTTTTTAATGGTTCTAGCTTCACACTCACTGATTCTTCTGCCTGCTCAAATATGCTTCCGAATCCCTCCAGTGAATTTTTCATCTCAGTTATAGTACATTTCATTTCCAGAATTTCTTTTTGGTGTTCTTTTTATAACTGGTTATTAACATTTTGTTCACAGATCGTTTCTTTGACTTTTCCCACATTTTCTTTTAACTCTTGGGTATCTTCAAGATGGTTATTTAAAAATTTTTGCCTACTAAGTCCACAATCTGATCTTTCTCAGGGACAGCTTCTGTGGATTTATTTCTTCTTCTTTTTTTTGTTCTATCGCCCAGCCTAGAGTGCAGCAGCACAATCTCGGCTCACTGCAACCTCTGCCTTTCGGGTTGAAGTGATTTTTGTGCCTCATCCTCCCGATTACTTGGGCTTACAGGTATCCATCACCACATCCAGCTAATTTCTTTGTATTTTTAGTAGAGATGGGGTTTCACCATGTTGGTCAGGCTGGTCTCAAACTCCTGACCTGAGGCGATCCACCCAACTTGGCCTCCCAAAGTGTTGGGATTATAGGAGTGAGCCACCGTGCCCGGCCTGGATGTATTTCTTCCCTTTGTATAGGCTATACTTCCCTGTTTCTTTGTATATCTTATGATTTTTCAATAAAAACTGAAATGTGATGTTTTGTCATTATATTTTAAACTACAAATACAGCAGTAACTCTGGAGATCAGTCTCCCCCTTTCCCCAAGGCTTGCTGAGCTTTTTATCCAATATTGGATTTTTTTTAACAAAACTATACTCCTTGTTTCTTAATTAACTAACAAAGAGAGTTAAATAAATCCCACTACCTTCATACCATGTATTATTGTATAGTCATTCATTTCTTCAAAAAATATCTATTAAGTGTCAGGCACTGTTATAATTGCTGAAAACAGAGCAACTTGTTAAGAATAGTTTCCATAAAGACAGGCTCTTACAGTTTACGCTAGTCATTGATGTATCCTAGAACTTAACTATATAGTATGCACCCAATAAATATTTGATGAATAAATAAATGCATTTCAATGTGATGTCTTTGTAGAATTACTTATGAAAATAAGTTACTATACTTTTCATATGAAATCAAAGGTTTAATGGCACTCTAAAAATAAAGGCAGTTTCGTGTTCTGACACATAAACTAAATGGATATGGTCTGTTTCTACATATTCATATACTCATACTATATACTATTATTTAACCACCCTTAGAAACGTACCTTTACAATGTACTGCAATGGCACCCTCAGCATTTTCGCAGATATCCAGGAATTCTTTGACAATGGCATCAGTAGGGGTGCTGCCATCCGCAAAGAAAAGATCATGGTGATCGAAGCCAGCATCCGTAAAGCGTTTGGCATCATACATTCTTTTATTCAGACGAATAATGGTAGTAACACTGTGATTCTTAAAATATTGAATATAAGTCTCGGGAGAATGTTGGTGGTAACCTACATAAAGAAATGCACCAGATCTTGTAAAACACATAAAGAAAATAATGGCTAATAGTTTCACCTGTAATTGAGCGGACACAGTATCTGGACTGGGAATTAAATACCAAATTGATTATAACTGTAAAAAACAAAACAAAAAGAAAGTTAAAATCCAGTCAGAATGATGTACTGAAATGACCAAGTATGCTTAAATAATTAACCCTTGGTCAAGCTTGGTGTAACTCTTTCAAAAGAAAATACAGGACAGATACTTTCAATAACAAAATGAGATTGATGCCATAATTTCACATACCACTTTCAAGTCTGGCTCTTGAATGAGGTCCACAGAAGGCAATAAATCGGTCTGGTATTATCCAATTTAAATCTCCATTTTCTGCTTTCTGTAAGGGGAAGACCAGCACAATTCATTTTTTTTTTTTTGAGACGGAGTCTTGCTCTGTCACCCAGGCTGGAGTGCAGTGGCTGGATCTCAGCTCACTGCAAGCTCCGCCTCCCGGGTTCACGCCATTCTCCTGCCTCAGCCTCCCAAGTAGCTGGGACTACAGGCGCCCGCCACCTCGCCCGGCTAGTTTTTTTTTGCAGTAGAGACGGGGTTTCACCGTGTTAGCCAGGATGGTCTCGATCTCCTGACCTCGTGATCCGCCCGTCTCGGCCTCCCAAAGTGCTGGGATTACAGGCTTGAGCCACCGCGCCCAGCCTCATTTTTAAACGTAATCTCCCCACAACCTCTCTACTCAAGACCGAGTCTCTGAAGGACTTCAAACTCATCTGCTTTAGTGGAAAAGCTGTTTACAAATTGCCATGAGACACGAATCTCAATTTGCCCTGTTATTGGACATATATACTGGTCCTAATCACCTTCTTTTAACAGTGTTTCATTGCTAGGGTATCAGCCCTTGGAATACAGAGCTGACTGCTGTCATACAAATATACTATTTGGCTATTTTATCTGAATCGATTCTCATTTCATTGCTGCTAATTAATAAGCAAGCAAGCAAACTTTTCCAGTATAAGGAATCTGGGAACTTCCCTGTTTTCCTGAATGACTAACTGGTTTCCAACATGAGTAATCTTGACTCCACAAACAAAGGATTTTTGAAAAACTACTTAGGTTTCTGGCTTCCCAATATTTACTTACTTACCTACTTACAGAGACTGTCTTTCCACTATTTTCCTAGCTATTTAATAAGGTAACCAATTTAAAAAGTTCATTTGTTCGTGATCAGTCTGACCAACTGGAGAAATCCTGTCTCTACTAAAACTACAATATCAGCCAGGCATGGTGGCGCATGCCTGTAATCCCAGTTACTTGGGAGGCTGAGGCAGGAGACTTGCTTGAACCCAGGAGGCAGAAGTTGTGGTGAGCCGAGATGGTGCCATTGCACTCCAGCCTGGGCAACAAGAGTGAAACTCCGTCTCAAAAAATAAAAATAATAAAAATAATAAATAAATTCACTAAACCCACCAGGAAACTCAAAATTACAACTATACCGAGATCACAGTATGTCCCTACAAAAAAACAAATATAAACTGATATATAAGACATGTTACTTCCTGTTATTAGGTCCTTTGGATTGAGTTACCATTACTATTATAACACAGATATAGTTCAAATTGAACAATAATAGAAACTTCTCTCTGAATGAAATGGATAAGAGATACTTAAGCAGGAAGTAGAAGACGCTTTATGGTGGAGAAGGAGACAACTCGTGATTAAAAAAAACAGATAAATTAGCTTTGCAATTGGGGTGTTTCTACATATACCTAAAAATGAGTTAAGTAATAAGAGTTTCTTGAATATCTTCAGGGACCAGGCAGGTAACCCCACACCAGCTTACTGGACTTAATGATCAACATGGGGAATCAGTCAGCCCATGTTCCATAATACAAAGGTCTAAGCAGCCGGGTGCAGTGGCGTGCACCTGTAGTCCTAGCTACTTGGGAGGCTGAGGCAGAAGGATCACTTAAGCCCAGGAATTTGAGTCCAGCCTGGGCAACATAGTGAGACCCTATCTCTTAAAAAAAAAAGAAAAGAAAAGGTCAAAGCAGGAATGAGGGCAGCTGTTGCCAGATATTCCAATTTTAAAGTGAAATCAGAAATCCGGACTTATTTAATAAGAAACTCGTGATCAGTTGTTGGCAACAACTAGATTTCACTGAATTGCTGATGCCATTAATTAAGATACATCCTGAATTCAGAGGAGCTGAAACAGGAAAAAATGGGCATTGTAGAATCAATGAAAGACACTATCCCCAATTTCTAAATACACTATAATAACTGAACAAAACTGGTGTATGGGAACCTGAACAGTTCCCTGTGTTACCACACAGCTTCATGGAGGTGAAGACATCTGTGGCGTGCCCCTGCTACCCCCTAGCCCAGACCCTCCAATCTCTACAGTAGTGACAGGGGAGTTACTTAGTGCCTATATTATTCATTAACAGCATACAAAGGCATCACTGCAAAAGGAACAAATACCAACTAGTGTTTTTAGCAGTTTTGCTTACCTAGACAAAGTAACTTGTTTCAAATGTTTAAAGGACAACCACAAAAAAGGTGTTAATAATTTAGCTACATTCTGTAAGTTTAAGGTGCTAGTTAAACATACATTGTACTTTAGAAATGGACTGCTATCAGAGAAGTAAAGACAGGGTTGGCCCTAATGAATCCTACAATGTATTCTTACATCTTTGGTACATCACAGTAACAACTGAGTGTTACTATTACCTGAAATTGAAAAAATAGTTCAGTTATACATAAGAGTTTGAAATCATATTTACTTCAGACATTGTGAAAAACAGTTCTCTGAGGATTCAAGATGCTGCTACATGAAGTGCTGCTGTTTGAGGAATCGCCTCCCCATTGCTGGGGAGCAAGTCTGCTCAGGGTAACTACAGCAGGCTAAGATGACAGAAGGCTACAACTGCTCTGGGCTGAACAGGCCTTTAGCACAGTATCTTACTCATTCCCTATTTGGAGGATGAAGCTGTAGAATCAAATTACTTATTCTTTTTAAAATACATATATATGTTAAAAAACATAGAACACACCTGTGGTTTTGCCTGGCTTATCTCTCCCTGGCCCTGTCCTATCTTTTTAAGAAATTTTGTGAGGTTGGGTGCAGTGGCTCACATTTGTAATCCCAGCACTTTGGGAGACCGAGGCAAGTAGATCCCTCGAGCGCAGGAGTTTGTGACCAGCCTGGGAAACATGGCGAAATCCCATCTCTACGAAAAATTTAAAAATTAGCTGGGCATGGTGGCGTGTGCCTGTAGTCCCCGCTACTGGGAGGCTGAGGTGAGAGGATCACTTGACCCCAGAAGGTTGAGACTGCAGTGAGCCAAGATTGCACCACTGCACTCTAGCCTGGGCAGCAGAGTGAGACCCTGTCTCTGAAAAAGAAAGAAAGAAAAATAAAATAAAATAAAAATAAAATAAAACTGTTAGAAAACAAATTTTTTTTGGTCCGGCTGGTTTGATGGCGCTGATCCTGTGTCCCAGGCTCCTGGGATGGCCAGAGAACTAAGACTGGCCAGAGTATTCCTTAGCCCTGCCCTGCCAAAGAACGCAGGCTGGTGCAGAGATGGGCACATGCTGTAAGTCAGGTCAGTGAGAGGCATTCCTGGGCCTTCTACTGGAGCTAAGATTGCACTTTTCTGATCATTTTGCCAAACTGGCAGATCAAAGGTGCTGGTGGCCATCTGTACCACTACTGGAGAAGGCTGGCCTGAGAATAAAACTAGCTTCAAGTCCAATTTCTGATTAAGTGTCTGAGCACCTGAAGGGGTATGCTAGAAGCCAAACCTGCTTCTGGACTTTTAATTATGTAATCCAGTAAATTTTTCCCCTTTTTTTGAGACAGAATCTCATTCTGTCACCCAGGCTAGAGTGCAGTGAGGTAATCTCGGCTCACAGCAACCTCTGCCTCCAGGGTTCAAGTGATTCTCTTGCCTCAGCCTCCTGGGTAGCTGGGACCACAGGCGCACACCACCACGCCTGGATAACTTTTTGTATTTTAGAGATGGGGTTTCACCATGTTGCCCAGGCTGGTCTCGAACTCCTGAGCTCAGGCAATCCGCCCACCTAGGCCTCCCAAAATGCTAGGATTACAGGCATGAGCCACTGTGCCTGGCAAATTTTTCCTTTTTAATTTAAGTTATTTGTGTTTACTTTCTGTAACTCGCAACCAGAAGCATCCTGACAAAAAGAAGGTATGGCAAAGACAAAGATATTTCCCAGAGATAATGAGGTGTATAATGACTTCATCTCATCATATTCTACGCTAAGGGTTTTAAAAGCATCTCAGTCACTGTGCGACAGTCATCAATGCTAAAATACATTTAAACTGAACAGTATAAAGAACATACAGCGGCACACTCATTCACTCTGGAATTGTGCATCAAATGCAGAAATTCCCACCGAGAACTGGGACTGGAGAAATAGCGATAAGAAGATGGAGACTTGACTTTTTTTCACTCTATACACATCTAAAACAAAACAAGAATATTGCTTCTGTAAGTGAAACGGGTGATTAAGAAAGCTAAAAACAGGGTCGTGCACAGTGGCACATGTCTGTAATCCTAGCACTTTGGGAGGCCAAGGTGGGAGAAGTGCTTGAGGCCAGGAGTTCAAGTCTAGTACGGGCAACAAAGTGAAACCCCATCTCTACAAAAATAAAAATTAAAAAATTAGCCAGGCATGGTGGTACGTACCTGCGATTCCAGTTACTTGGGAGGCTGAAGAAAGAGGATCATTTAAGCCCAGAAGTTCAAGGCGGCAGTGAGCCATGCACATCACTGCACTTCAGCCTAGGTAACAGAGCGAGACTTGGTCTCTCTCTCTCTTTTTTCAATTTTAAGAAAGAAAAATTAAAAACAGGCAGAGAAATTTTGGTCAGAGTACAAACCATAAGAGGATGAGTAAACTCTGGAGATCTAATGTGTGTACTGTATGCCTGAAATCTGCTAGAGTATATCTCAGGTATTCTCATCCCACACACCAAAAGACTAAATTATGTGAGGTGATGAATATGCTAATTAGCTTGATTAGGTAATCATTTCATGGTGTATACATATATCGAAACATTACTTTGTACATCTTAAGTATATGTAAGTTTTATTTGTCAATTATTCCCCTCAATAAAGCTGGGGGGGGAGGCGGGAAAGAGTTGAAAACATGATCCTTGAAGACTTACTTCATAGTGTTCATATTCATCAAGGTTAAATGAGTTGAAATTAAGGAAGCCATACTGCATTGCCTAAAATCCAAAAGAAAGCTTTTAAGAACAAGGATGCAAGTAAGAAAACAGTTTCCTATCCAATTTCAGAATACTAAATATCAGGGGGCCCCCCCAAGAAAGTATTGTCATAATCAGATTACTTTCCCTTGAACAGCTTTCAAAGGAAGTGGGAGGCATCTTCTAAATGCTTCTTTTATATGGAAATTAGTTATAACTATAGATAATGAATTTGTTGTGTTTTGTTTGGATTTTGTGAGATGTGCTTTTTTTACTTTCATTCGCCAATCACCCTATCCATGCATTGTTAAGTAATCATGCCCTGAAAGTAATCCTCTTCTCTTACCAGATCACCACCACCCTTGGTTGAAAATTCAGAAGTTTAGGATTCAAATATAATACACAACCCAATGGTCTCTACATCAATAAGAAAGAGGAGAGAATCCATGGGCTAGTTTATCCCAAACAAAGCCCTCATACTTCATCCATATCTTCATTTTCAACTTCTGAACAGTCTTTAATCAATGTTCCCTAAACTAAACACAGCTCTGACATCAACACTAAAATAAAAAATTTTGAGGAGAAAAGTTATTCTTTCCATAGGAATAAAACAAAACATTTTCTGTCCTAGCCTATAGCTTCACTCTGTGTGACAGCACGCAGAGTATGCTAACCAAAATAAGCAGACTGTCTATTTTCTGAGACAAGGACAAACAGAGCTGGCGGCCTCTGAGAAATGTCCTCCCAGCTTGCTGATCACTGACACAAACAGGAGGGAAGCAAGAACTCTTGATCCACAAGGTATTCTTGGTTCAAAGAGGGGGCTTTTGTACACCCAGTTTTCAAAATGTAAACTACTGAAATACAAATGTAAAATAAGAAGGCTAGAATACCAACTAAAAGGGTCTTCATCTTATATAGTTATTTTAACACTAATCCCAAGACTAAGTCAATCACAAAATTTATTTCCTTGACTTCAATATATTTCATGATTTTGGACTACAGCTATTCCTAATAGAATGAAACAATAAAAAAGTAGTTTATAAGGTCCTATTTTCCTTTGAATTTCATGAGGTGATCTTATTGGAAGTGGATCACACTGAAAACATAATTACATTGATGCATGTTTCTTCCTATATGCAATATTCAAAGTCAGTCACAAATAAAAAATGTTGACACTGAAAATCAGAAGCTAGTGACCCTTAAATAAAACTAAATATAGTGGTTGGGTGCAGTGGTGCACGCCTATAATCCTAGCACTCTGGGAGGCCAGGGTGAGTGGATCACTTGAGCTCAGGAGTTCGAGACCAGCCTGGGCAACATAGTGATACCTCGTCTCCACAAAAAAATACAAAAATTAGCCAAGCATCACAGAAAAAATAAAAATTTAATTTAAAAAACCCAAAATATAGTAGGAAAAGGGCAATCTTTGACCTATCATACCAGCTAATTGACTTCGGGTGCAATACCCAATTAAAAAAAAAAAGCCAAAACAGAACAATAGAAGCTGCGATTCGGTGTTATAATAATAGATCATTTCCAAAGCCCTCAAAGCTTTGCTCTTCTCTTTTTAAAGGTGAGTGTACCTACCTGCACGAGCCCACCTGGCAGGGGCTGCAACTGCAACCAGAAGGTACCATTTACCCCTGTTGCCCTTTGGTCTCCAGATTTCCACTAGTGGCCCGTACCTGCCCACACTGAGGGCCCACGGAGCCGCCTCAGAGCCCATGGCAACTACCCCAATCAGCTCCATACCCCAAAGGCACTGGATTCAAATCCAAACAAATTATGTTCCCATACCTCACTGATTGATACAGGAAAAAAAGTATACTAATTCGTTTCTGAATTTGTATGCTGATTAGTCCTCTCGTTTTAAGACATGTCGGTCACAATTCCCAGCAAGCCACCATGTTTCATTATACAAGAAAGTAAACCTGGGTTCCTTTTGGCTCTAAAAGCACAAGTTACAGAAAACTTGAGATGCTGTCAAAGGCTTATTTGATCTATGGGCTACTGATTTACCATTCTAGTTTCTCGTGCTGTCCTGACATTAATACCAGGACTTGCTGCACTGTGTAACCCCAGGGGACCCTGTTCACGTAGAACGTGATGGGCATGTCCCCTGGAATCGACACAGCAGCCCTGGTCATAACCCCAAGAAATCACTTGGAAATAGTTTGACAAAGCAGCCGTGACCCACTTAGTTTCATAGAAAACCGTATAACAAACTAAATGAGGCATTCAAATTCTGTTGAACTAGAAACTGAATGCCTGGGGAAACAAAAAGGAAGTGTTTGACAGTGACTGGGTTACGTCTGTGGTAATCGTATTGGTGGGAATCAGGTATGTAGAATACACAAATCAAAGAGAACTTACCAGTAAACCAGTCATCCTTACTTTTGTTCTTTTAGATCACAATATACTCAAAACCAATTCTGGATCTAGAACCTAGTTGTATAACTCTTATTTTCCCTGTTTCTTAAGTGACTTTTCCCCCAACTCATACACAGAAGCGCTCAGAAATTCAGAATAAACCGTTTCCTGGTTTGGTCTCATTCTGACATTAGTTGGGAAGTGAGTACACCTCTGTCACCATACACATCTTGGAAAAAACGCTAACAAAAAGATCTCGGGAAGAAGGCCTAGTTTCTTGGACCACATGTTAGTTCCTCAACACAACACTGGGTGCATCCTACATGTCACTTACCTTCTTTACTGCATGAAAACAGTCAAGAAGTGTAATGTAGAAATTGCAGCTTCCATAGGCAGCATCTCTGAAACCCAAAAGTAATAAAATACAGGTCAGTTCCTTTTCTGCAATTACACTTACCTGAGACAAAGCTGACTAGAATTTAAAATCAAAGGTATACTCAGAACCATTATCAAGAAGAAAAAAATCTTGTCTTTTGACTTTTTACATAAAAGATAAATCAATTACAAATTTCACTGCAGTTTCTACCTATTCCAATAGGTACTGTTTCATGGGCCTGGATCAATAGTGATCACTTTCTAAATTTCAAACGTTCTCTCCGGATTATTTTTGGCTTTAATAGCTCAGCTACCTTCTTGAATTCAACAAATCAATACCCATCTCTCCCCCTAAAAGGGCAAAGCATTTGAATTTTTTCTTTAAACTGGAAAATACCATACGAAAATCTTACTGGGAAAGACTGCTTTTTGATCCTGTAATAAACATACGTGTGTATGTGTGTCTAAGTATACGTGCGCATCTGTGTGTGTGTGTGTCTCCAACCAAGTATGACAGAAATATTGAGAAATTAAGGTCATATTTAAAACACTAGGTAGAAGGTCATAAGCATTTTGTTCCTATCATTATGCTAAAGACTTTTACCCACGTAACTAGATAACTTCTGGGTTTTTTAACGTTTTCATAGAGATAACGTCTTGCCCTGTTGCCCAGGTTGGGGTACAGTGGTGTAATCATAGCTCACTGCAGCCTCAAACTCCTGGGTTTAAGTGATCCTCCCACCTCAGCCTCCCCAGTAGCAAGGACCACAGGCATGTACCATTGCATCTAGTTAACTTTTTTCTTTCTTTCTTTTTTCTTAAAGGTAAAGAGGGAGTCTCATTAAGATACCCAGGCTGGTCTTAAACTTCTGGCCTATGCTGGGCATGGTGACTCACGCCTGTAATCCCAGCACTTTGAGAGGCCAAGGCAGGTGGATCATGAAGTCAGGAGTTCAAGACCAGCCTGGCCAAGATGGTGAAACCCCGTCTCTACTAAAAATATAAAAATTAGCCAGGCATGGTGGCGGGCACCTGTAATCCCAGCTACTCGGGAGGCTGAGGCAGGAGAATGGCGTGAACCCGGAGGCGGAGCTTGCATTGAGCGGAGCTTGTGCCATTGCACTCCAGCCTGGGCGACAGAGCAAGACTCCATCTTAAAACAAAAAACAAAAAAAACTCCTAGCCTCAAGCAGTCCTGTCACCTTTTTGGCCTCCCGAAGTGTTGAGATGACAGGTGTAAACTGCTGTGCCCTGCCTTCTTCCTGATTCTTTTTTTTTTTTTTTTTTGAGACGGAGTCTCGCTCTGTCGCCCAGGCTGGAGTGCAGTGGCCGGATCTCAGCTCCTCCTGCCTCAGCCTCCCGAGTAGCTGGGACTACAGGCACCCGCCACCTCACCCGGCTAGTTTTTTGTATTTTTTTAGTAGAGACGGGGTTTCACCATGTTAGCCAGGATGGTCTCGATCTCCTGACCTCGTGATCCGCCCATCTCGGCCTCCCAAAGTGCTGGGATTACAGGCGTGAGCCACCGCGGCCGGCCCTTCTTCCTGATTCTTAAAGGACAGTAGTAATACCAATGAAACCACAGGAACTAACAAGTCAACTACCTTCCACAGGATCACTCTAGTTTTGGGAAAGTGCTTATATTACTTTACAGACAACTCCATCCACCTAAACACTGCATCAACACATAGCAGTAATCTTACTATATGAATCTCTTAATATCAAGTAAGGTTTTACCCAGAGAAATAACGCACCCCTGACCCCTACCTGCTTCTCCTTTTTGGCTACCTTGAGCCATTACAAGATGAAATTTTCTGGAATTAGGCAACATAAACATTAATTTAATTATGATTAAGCTAGGCGTGCAGAAAAACTGTGCCTGTCTGAATGGTACTCATTTGCTTCCGGGGAAACAGGGTTGCTGGTGGAGCCATCACTAATTCCCCACCTTATCTGGGCCTTCACACTGTAATACTTCTTACTGTGAGGCAGTTACATACATATATGTAAAACCTTACTGCTGCACACTTAAGATTAGTGTTTTTGAGGCTGGACGCGGTGGCTCACGCCTGTAATCCCAGCACTTTGGGAGGCCGAGGCAGGTGGATCATGAGGTCGAGAGATTGAGATCATCCTGGCCAACATGGTCAAACATTGTCTCTACTAAAAATATAAAAATTAGCTGGGTGTGGTGGCACGCACCTGTAGTCCCAGCTACTTGGGAAGCTAAGACAGGAGAATCACTTGAACCCGGGAGGCGGAGGTTGCAGTGAGCCAAGATCGCGCCACTGCACTCCAGCCTGGTGACAGAGGGAGACGCCTATCTCAAAAAATAAATAAATAAATAAATATTAGTTTTTGTTAAAAACGATTAAGTTATACATTAACTTAAAAGGGGAAAAATAAATATTCAACAAATGTTAGAATAAAAATTAAACCACATTTTAAACTTTTAATTCTTGCTCAAACCTTAAGGGCCAAGAATACAGCAATGAGGGAAAGAAAAGGCATCCTTTTCAGCTAAAATCGTCTTCAATGTTACTGACTGAGCTGCTTATAATTACTGAGCTATGGCCAGGCGCGGTGGCTCACGCCTGTAATCCCAGCACTTTATGAGGCCAAGACCGGTGGATCACAAGGTCAGGAGATGGAGACCATCCTGGCTAACACGGTGAAACCCCGTCTCTACTAAAAATATAAAAAATTAGCCGGGCGTGGTGGTGGGCGCCTGTAGTCCCAGCTACTCGGGAGGCTGAGGCAGGAAAATGGCGTGAACCCGGGAGGCGGAGTTTGCAGTGAGCCGAGATCACACCACTGCACTCCAGCCTGGGTGACAGAGCGGGACTCCATTTCAAAAAAAAAAAAGAATTACTGAGCTATGAGAACCTTCATGAGGACGGAATGCAGGGTCTTGTTTTGTTTTCTTTTTTTGAGACAGGGTCTCCTCTGTTGCCCAGGCTGGAGTGCAGTGGTGCAATCATGGCTCACTGCAGCCTTGACCTCCAGGGCTAAAGCGATCCTCCCACCTCAGCCTCTGGAGTAGCTGGGACCACAGGTGCACACCACCATGCCTGGCTAAGTTTTTATGTTTTTTGGTAAAGTTGGGGTTTCACCATGTTGCCCAGGCTGGTCTTGAACTCCTGAGCTCAAGCAATCTGCCTGTCTCAGCCTCCCAAAGTGCTGGGATTACAGGTGTGAGCCACTGCGTTCAGCCGACACAAGGTCTTAGAACACACCATTTTTGTTCTATAAGGTTCTGAATTGAAAATTTTCTCTTCTACATCCTAGAAAAGGTCTTTAACCTAAAAGACCATGACTTTCCCAACACCTTATTGGCAATATTCAGAAAGAAAAAAAAACAAAAGGACTTGCAGCGGTGGTCCCCAGGCCAGCAGCACCAGGACCACCCCACCCATCAGAAATGCAAATTCTCAGGGCCACCTCACATCTACCGAATCAAAGTTCTCGGGGTAGGACCAGGTAATTTGTGTCTTAACAGGTCCTCTAGATGTCTGTGATTGTGTTCAAGTTTATGAACCACTGACCTACAAATCAACACAAATCCTGGTTTTGTAGAAATAGGGTGTTCATGGAATAAAGAACCCCATAGGTAGAGAAACTAAGGCAGGAAAATGGAGTCGTTTAGCCTAAATCAAATCAAAATTACCAACGGAAATGGGGTAAACCCTCAAGCTGGATGCCAATGATTTTAACCATGTCTCCTCTGTGAAGGACTGATTATCTTCTTTTATTTTTGAGACAGAGTCTCCCTCTGGAGTGAGTGCAGTGGTGTGATCTTGGCTCACTGCAAGCTCCGTCTCTCGGGTTGACACCATTCTCCTGCCTCAGCCTCCCGAGTAACTGGAATTACAGGAGCCGCCACCACACGCAGCTAATTCTTTTGTATTTTTAGTAGAGACGGGGTTTCACCTTGTTAGCCAGGATGGCCTCTATCTCCTGATCTTATGACTCACCCACCTTGGCCTCCCTAAGAGCTGGGATTACAGGCTTGAGCCACCACGCCCGGCCTGATTATCTTCTCAACCTACTGATAATTATTTTCCAATCAAGTTAAAGGCGTGTTGATTCAGTCTCTGTGACATTTTGACAAATTTCTTCAACGCTTTCTCTTTTCTTTCTTTCTTTCTTTTTTTTTTTTTTGGAGAACCTACTGTGGGGCACAGCCCCGCTCCAATCTGTGATGATTTCACAAGCTTTCATCTGGGCCCTGCTGAAGTCCTGCCTCATACATCATAGAATCTGAATATACGACAAGAATCTTTGTTCACTCAAGTTTATTTCATTAGCACCTCCAATTTTAGACACACCCACATCACATCTTCCTCCCACCGAGCATTCAGTCTTCTTCCAATAGGCAGAACAGCAACTCTGAGGCTCGGTTTATAAGCCTTGGAGAGTGGAGAGGGATCCTTGTCACCAAGATCATTTAACAAATTTGGAAAACACGTAAGAATCAATAAAGGCGCACTGCTTGGAAACTGCACAACAATGTCAAATACTAGTTTTAAAGAATGGCAACTTTCATAACAGCTCGTATTCACCACAGCCAAAAACTGCAAATGACCCAAATATCCATCAAAAGGACAACAGGCAAATAAATGGTGGTATAGTCATAGACTGGAATGCCACAAAAGCAAAAAAAAGGATGAGCTACTGATACCTGCCACAACACAGGTAGATCTCATAGACATTACATATGTGAAATCCAGTTGCCACCTCCCCAAAATGCATACCAGTTATCTGAAGTTCAAAAGCAAGCAAAACTGATAGTGATAGAAGTCAGAGCAATGATTAGCTGGGGGTGATGAACTGACTGGAAAGGGGTAGGAGGGAATCTTCCAGGAGACAGATAATTTTTTTTTTTTTGGGACGGAGTTTCGCTCTTGCTGCCCAGGCTGGAGTGCAATGACACGATCTCAGCTCACCGCAATCTCTGCATCCCAGGTTCAAGTGATTCTTGTGCCTCAGCCTCCCAAGTAGCTGGGATTTGATTACGGGTGTGCGCCACCATGCCCTGCTAATTTTTGTATTTTTAGTAGAGACAGGGTTTCACCACATTGGCCAGGCTGGTCTCGAACTCCTGACTTCAGGTGATCCGCCTGTCTCAGCCTCCCAAAGTGCTGGAATTACAGGTGTGAAACACTGCACCCAGCCAAGACAGTGATTTTTTAAAAATGTAGGTAAATGGCCGGGCGTGGTAGCTCACACCTGCAATCCCAGCACTTTGGGAAGCTGAGGCAGGAGGATCACGAGGTCAGGAGATGGAGACCATCCCGGCTAACATGGTGAAACCCCGTCTCTACTAAAACTACAGAAAATTAGCCAGGCATGGTGGCAGGTACCGGTAATCCCAGCTCCTCAGGAGGCTGAGGCAGAAGAACTGCTTGAACCTGGGAGGAGGAGGCTGCAGTGAGCCAAGACCACACCAATGCACTCCAGCCTGGGGTGACAGAGGGAGAGTCTGTCTCAAAAAAAAAAAAAAGAAAGAAAGACACGGTCTTGTTCTATTGTGCAGGCTGAGTGCAGTGGCATAATCAAAGCCCACTGAAGCCTCCTAGGCTTGAGGGATCCTCCTGCCTTAGTCTCCCAAGTAGCTATGACTACAGAAACATGCTACCATGCCCAGCTAATTTTTTTCCCCCCAAAGAGAAACGGTCTTGCTATGCTGTCCAGGATGGTCTTCCTGGCCTCAAGCCATCCTCCCGCCTCAGCTTTCCAAAGTGCTGGAATTATAGGCATGAGCCGCCATGCCCGGCCTATACTATGTGTTTTATATGCAGGATGTCACTTCATCCTCAACCCCCTCAGGGAGATTTTATTATTGTTTCTGTTTAAAGACTAGGAGACCAAGGCTCAAATCTGTAAAAGACCACAGAGATATCAGTAGCAGAGCTGACAGCAAAACTCCCATCTGATGTCAAGTCAAGCTATTAACAAATACACAATACTACCTCTCGAGAAAACAGGAAGCAGAGGCAAGCCCCCTCACACAAAAACAACTAAGAAGCAGAGATAATACCAGAGAACAGAAACACACACTGTTCATAACAATGATCCTATGACATTTTAAAAAAATTAAACTATATTTTATACTATTTAATCATGCAGACCAGACACAGAGAAATATTTAATATAACTCAGTAAGAAATCATATATACACACGCACTTTAAAACTCCGAGGCTCACCCCTGTATTCCCAGAACTTTGGGAGGCCAAGGTGGGCGGATCACTTGAGGCCAGGGGTTTGAGACCAGCCTGGGCAACATAGTGAAACCCCGTCTCTACCAAAAATACAAAAATTAGCTGGGCGTGGTGGCGCCTGCTCTAGAAGCTGAGGCATGAGAATTGCTTGAACCTGGGAGGCAGAGGTTGCAGTGAGCTGACATTGTGCCACTACACTCCAGCCTGTGCGACAGAGCAAGATTTCGTCTAAAAATAAATAAATAAAACAAAAGAGAATTCGATCTAAGTTGAATTAAATCTAATTAAATAAAACATTGCTATGTAACATAAAATAACTTATTTACTATAAATGAATGCCATTCTTGCACAATGTCTTATTAGCAATACTTTGTTGGTTACATTTATTCTATGTACTTGAAGTGGCAAGATACAAAGAATATAATGTCATTTCTATCAAAATATTATCAGGCTTTATTAATTCTGATTGGACTACTTTCTAATTGATAAGTTCTATAGAACACTATGTAAGGAAGCACTAAATTTAAAAACTTTAAGTCAATCATAGGTTGACACTTTTGTAAAATATATATGAAATGCATTAGTACTGTACTATTACATACCCAGTAACGCAGTAATCTTATTTTTGTGAATAAATTACTAGAAAAATGAAAGTTAAAAAAAAAAAAAAAGTCCAAATTTCTTCTACTATTTGATTCTACAGACATAAAATTGCTCTATTCAATAACCTATAAATGCTTCTAAAATCTTACTCTCAACTTCTGTGTTTATCTCATCACAGACCAGCACCAGTTCACAGGCCACACTTACGGATCATGAGGTCAAGAAATCAAGACCGTGCTGGCCAACATGGTGAAACTCTTTTCTCTACTAAAAATACAAAAATTAGCCAGGTGTGGTGGCAGGCACCTGTAGTCCCAGCTACTGGGGAGGCCGAGGCAGGAGAATCACTTGAACCTGGGAGACGGAGGTTGCAGTGAGACCAGATCACACCACTGCACTCCAGCTTGGTGACAGAGCAAGACTCCATCTCAAAAAAACACACACAAAAAAACAAAACTGTCTAGATAAATCAAATACCTAGTATCTATGATAGAAGAGATTCAAATTTCACGAACCTGAATGGTTTCTAGTTGAGTCTTGTCTTTTGGAGAATTACTGACTGATGCTCCTGAGACCACAAGGAACTAACTTCATTTCTCAGTGCCAAACTTCAATAATTTGAAACATAGCAAGGCAGTAAGCAATGCTTATTCTGTTTTTGGCACCTGTATTTAAATTAACTCAAAACGTCTTTTTTCACATCAACAGTGCCACACTGTGTGAAATGTGTGAGCATGTTCCTATTTCAGGACCTTGTGCTGTAAATGTAAGAGTGGCACCGCAAAGGATTATCATTATAAAGAAGAGTTCTACAGAACAAATGTCACTACATCAGGAGATGACCAAGGTGCCTGTGACTCAAGACCAAAAATACAAGCATTTCTTTTAAAGGAAGAATGTGGTTGCTGTTATGTTATAGGTTGAGAAGAAGAATTTTCCAGCTTAGAAAATAATCTTTATCTCCCCGCTTCCCTTCCTACCCACCTCAAATAAAAGAATACTTAAGATGAGCCATGACCTAGCAGAAAGGGATGATACTGGGTTCAAGCCAATTCTAATTTGCTAAATCTCCGATCTTCACAATCTTTCATGCAGTGTATTCCTGAAGTCTTCGGACTGCCCTGAGGAATTGTGATTTCATGGAGTAAGTCCACAGGCGGGCCTATAAAGTTATCTGAAAAGGAGATTCTGCCAATAATTCCAAGTACCTATGCCAAAGCTCATCTAAAATGAAGTCAGATTCACAAACTTCCTTTTGTACAGTCAGGGCCATACATTCAAAATCAGGCATTTGTGGTATATGCAACAGTCCTAATATGATAAACTAATGAACTAATTAGTTTGAACAATGAACTAATAAGCAGTAGTTATTAGTTCATTGTACAAGCAGTGAACTAATTTGTGAATGGAAGAACAAGCAGTTTTGAAAATATCAAAGTCTTCAATGAGTAAAATTATTTCACACATTTATTACCCATTAAGTACCTACCATACAAGTATTTACATTATAGAGCTATGTCAAGTATTTTGATAAACAAGCAGAAAAATTTTTAGAACTTAATTTGATTTAAGCACCAGTCTTCTCAAAATATCTTCAACACAATCGCATGCTACGCTTGAGATGAGGATGTCATCCATTCCTGTAGACATCACTATCTACCACCTCTGGGACGCAGTGACTTGACTGGTTTTTCTGGAAGTGGTACTGCATTAGCAACCTTACCGGCTGTCTCTACTGACTGTGTCCCCAGAAAAAAAGGGGTTCATTTTGGTCCCAGAAAGTAACTACTGATTATTGGAAACATTTCTTCGCTTCTCAGGAACCACACTCTTCAGTGGGAGTTTTGAGTACCACAGCCCAGGATTCTCACCTGAGTACAAAGCCTAGGTTTTGGGATTTTGTTTTTGTTTTTTTTTTTGAGACAAGTTATCTCTCTATTGCCCAGGCTTGAGTGCTGTGGTGTGACCATAGCTCACTCACTGCACCCTCGAACTCCTGGGATCAAACAATCCTCCAGCCTCTGCCTCCCAAGTAGCTGGGACTACAGGCACACGCAACCATGCCTCGCTAATTTTTTTTAAAATTTTTTTGTAGAGATGGGGTCTGTCTTTGTGGCCGAGGTTGGTCTGGAACTCCTGGGCTCAGGTAATCATTCCACCTTGGCATCCCAATATGCTGGGATTACAGGCATGAGCCACTGTGCCCAGCCAAAGCTTAGTTTTCATCAACGGCAGTGGTTCTCAATGTAGGGAGATTTTGCTCTCCATCCCCCAAGGCCACTTACAGGGATAAATGGCAATGTCTGCAGACATTCTGAGTTTTGACAATTAGAGTGGGTATGGGGATTTTACCAGCATCTAGTGGGCAGAAGCCATGGACGCCACTCAACATCATACGATGCACAACACAGCCCCCACGACAAAAGGTGAGCAGTGTCACTGTGGAAACACCCAGATCTGTGATGTTATTTGTGCTCATCCTAAAATGACTATTTACCAGATCTTCTTTTTTCAGAAACAACTATCAAGGTATTTCTGGCAAGGATCTGATTACCTGAATCTACCACATCATTCTTATATTTACCTGAAAGGAATATAGGATGTCTCTCCAAAGATTAATATTCTATATGCTTCTTCTGGAGTTCTCCCCAAATATATAACCTATGTTTGGAAAAAAGAAAAAGGCAATTTATTTCTAAGCGAAGGTACAGTGCTGTCACTGCGAAGTCAATTTTGTCCAATTTCCAACCAAGTGAGCCGGGTTCTCCAGCCTTCCCCAGGAGCCCAGAATCACCCAGAATCCTGTCCACCGGTTTCTTTTTTGTTTAAATCCTCCATTGCTGGTTTCTGTTGTTTGCAGCATGAGCCCTGACCAACAACTCTTCACAGCAACCTTTTGTGGTAAGACGCACGGTATTTTAAAAACAGATTTTCCGAATCAAGATGTTAGACCGATCCCATGCTTTTACCTCCCCTCCTTCCCGCAAGTACACTGAAATGACAGCTCAGCAGCGTGTAGGAGATGGGGGCAGGGTTAGAATGGGGGGAAGTGGAAAGAGACACAAAAGCAGAACACAGACGTGATTAACTCTGTCCATGGAGGTGTAAGGGCTTGCAATACTGAACAAGTTGATTATCCAACTGCACTTGCTTTTGACGCTCATTGACTTTTGTCCTTAGAACTATGCTATGCTTTGACTTTAATCTGGGAGAATACCTCAAGTATATTCTTCAGCATTTGAGGTCTATACTTGGTATTCTTTGCATTTCTAAACATTCCTTTTTTCCCCTTGACCTTTATTATTTGACTACTACACGTAGGATTTTTGGTCTGTAGTCATTTCCTCTCGATAGTTTCTAGATAATGTTCCCATGTCTTCTCACTTCTAGTGTTACAGAAGTATTTTACTGGTCTAAGTATCTCTGACTGCTCCTTACAAATAACCTGTTTGTTCTAGAAATGTGGAGTTTGAGACTTTCACCACCATCTCTCTAAATAAGTCCTCTCCCTACCCCCTATTATATTTGCCTGGGACTTCAGAATCTTCCTGCAGGGCCCTTTCAACTAATGTATGGAAGGTTGGGGCTTGGGGGGATCGTGGTGGGGAGGAGACACAACATTAAATCTGGCACTTATATTATCACCAAAATTAGGTTGAACTCCAAAGATTACTTTGGGGAAATAGATTTTAAATTTCACTAACAAAAAAAAGAAATCACTAAAAAAAAGGTTAATTGCAAACTTTTTTATCTCCATTATTTAACATGATACATGTGACCTGTTTCCACAACCAAATGGGAAGCATTCTGAGGTTGGGACTCATGTCTCACGGTTTCATTACACACCAATCTGATTCACTCATTTACTTAGCTGAACCCAAATCTACTTACAATAGTTAGGAACATTTTAAATATTTAATAAAAGTTGATATCAATGTGAAAGTATCACTGGACTAAGAGAAATTTTTCAAAACTCAAAGATCCAGCAAGGATCTTATAAACTGAGAAACAGACATATCCTAAAACTAGTCATAAGCACTGACTCAGCTTTCAAAGGGCATTTCACCAATTTTCTGACTCAAGACTCATAAACGGAAAATTTTCCCAATGACTAGTCTGTTGCTGTTTTTTTTTTGAGATGGGGTTTCACTCTTGTTGACTAGGCTGGAGTGCAAAGGCGCGATCTCAGCTCACTGCAACCTCCGCCTCCCAGGTTCAAGCAATTCTCCTGCCTCAGCCTCCAGAGTAGCTGGAACAATAGGCATGCACCACCACGCCTGGCCAGTTTTTTGTACTTTTAGTAGAGATGGGGTTTCACTATGTTTGCCAGGCTGGTCTCAAACTCCTGGCCTCACGTGATCCGCCCATCTTGGCCTCCCAAAGTACTGGGATTATAGACATGAGCCACCATGCCCGGCCTACACACAGATCTTCTAAGCATCAGCTTGTAAGTCATGAAAAGTAATATATTTTAAAAATCCAGCTTGTTTTTTCCAAATTCCCTTATTCCCTTCCAGTCTCCAATGCATCTATGCCTATTCTAACACTTACCAGATAACATCAGTAAAGTCTTTCATTTTCTCCATTCTATTTTAAGACTTCCTAGCAGATTAAAAAAAAAAAAAACAAAACAAAACTTAAAACCGGCCAGGTGCGGTGGCTCATGCCTGTAATCCCAGGACTTTGGGAGGCCATCGTGGGCAGATCACGAGGTCAGGAGATGGAGACCATCCTGGCTAACATAGTGAAATCCCGTCTCTACTAAAAATACAGAATATTACCCGGGCACAGTGGCAGGCGCCTGTAACCCCAGCTACTCAGGAGGCTGAGGCAGGAGAATCGCTTGAACCCAGGAGGCAGGGGCTGCCGTGAGCCAAGATCGTGCCACTGCACTCCAGCCTCAGCGACAGAGCAAGAGTCCATCTCAAAAAACAAAAACAAAAAAACAAAATCCTAAAACCAAAAAACAAAACCAAATAAAAAAACACCTGGAAGCCAGTAAGAATGAGAATAGGGTTTGATTCATTTGTGTATTAAAATGAAATCTAGAGACCCGTTTAGGAATTTCTCTAAATTTCTAAGGCCTTCTCTCAAATTACACAAATTTTTCCTTAAGCACCAGTTTAAGATAATTTTTCCTACTTGCAATTGCTGTTCTTTGGGTTCTTTAATTAGTAAAACTGCAATGGTATTACTTTCTCCTAACTTTCAAAACAAAAATAGTCTCTAATACATTAAGGACTGTGGTTTAGCCTTGGAACACTAGTTTGATTCAAAGAACTGCAAGAACAATGTAACATTTTTTCCTGTGGGAGAAAAAACCCTAAATTCCTGATGATGAACTTTAAAAGACTGTAATTTAAAAATCCAGTTGGGGAATGCCTGCACATAAAAAATAATGTCAAGCATAATTAGATAAACTGAAGGAAGTTTACAGATGCAGAATAATTCCACTTATGTAACTATCAAAGACATATTTGCCAATCTGTAACTTTTACCTTCTTTTCTTTTTTGGCCAGGCATGAAGGAAGTAACTTTTACTTTTACACCTACTCATCTTGCCGATTCAAAAGGCCTTCCCAAATGAAATCATTCTAAATTTGTGACTAAAGAAGAATCCTGTAAATGACTCCTACATTAACACAAATTCTCAGATTAGTAAACTCTAAATGGATGCAACTTATGATCTATCACCGTGCTTCTGGCAGTCTGGACACTTGGCGTTTCTCAAATTCTTTTGATATATTTTCATGAGAAGCAATATATATAGAATGCCCACTCTAATTCCACAGTGCTGGTTAAGAACAGGAAACAACAAATGATGACCAAGAGAGGTGCTGACCAGTTGTGATCGCCAGCTTCCCAGACAACCCCAGAGAGTCTCATCTGCTGGCATGTCCACCCTTGTGCGGTCCCCTCCCACAGTGAACGGGGTGTCCCGTGTAACGAACAGGATACTGTAGTAATAGGGTGTGGTTTCGGAGACTAGATCATAAAAGAGGCAGCTACTGTCTTGCTTTCTCTTAGAACCCTCGCTCTGGGTACAGCAAGCTGTTATTTTGGGAGCATACTCAAGCAGTCCACGTGGTATGGAAGAGAGGCCGCCTGCCAGCAACTGGCACTAACCTGCCAGGTATGTGACTGAGCCCCCTTAGAGGTGGACCCTCCAGGTGAGTGCAGCCCAGACACGGCCCAGAACCAGACCAGACCCATCCAAGTTAAGCAACTCCCAGATGCCTAACTCACAGACATGGTCTGAGACAATGTGTACTGTCGTTTTAAGTCACAACGTTTTGCGGTAATTCGCTGGGCAGCAATAGTGTGCAGTAGCACACTCAGTGAGTAAGGAAATGGCCATTTCCATTTGTTAAAAGTGAATAAACAAATACATGAGGCGTAAGCACAGAGACGCAGCTTAGGAAGCATCAGTAATACCTTGTTTCTCTAGGATAAAGACTCTTTGAACAAGCAAATATCACACACACACACACGAATACTATGGTTGAAAATGCTTGAGACTGGTGTGGTTTTCAAAGTCATGGTACAAAGTTCTTTTTTTGCTGAACAATACCTCAACCATTCCCAGGACTTCCCACCACCCCCGTTTTCTAGAATCACCATCTGCACGCCCGAGTCCCTGTGAGGACGCTGGACCCCTTGATTACTGACATACGTTTCAAAACCTGGGAGGTACTGAACTAGCAGTGATGGAAGAACAAGCAACTGAGGCAAAAGGATCCCAACTGCATTACTTCTCCTTTCAGTGTTTCAATGCTGACAGGCCAAATCACGGAAACCCAATTAGACATGTGCTTCCTATTTCTACTAGTATGTACAGGATTCTGAAGCTTTATTTATATACTGAGAGAGCCTCGGTACAATTTACAACCCAAACGTCACACAAGTCAGTGCATCCCAGAGCTGAGAGCGACAAAGGATATTGAAATTCCAGCAACAAATGTGGCAGCCTGAGTAATCAGGAAATCCTGGAGAGATGTCACAATGTTTCCAGCACTTCAAGACTCTTGTGACTATTTTCATGTCAGCCAGATGATACAGTCTTTCCTATGCCAAGAATTTGATTGATCACACAAAAAAAATCATTCTCTCCAGATTAACAAAGAATGCTCGCAAATCAATGCAAGTTGAAGATAGACTCACACATTCAACTGCTCAATAAAAAAGGTGAGCAGGGGAAAGAACACAGAGAATAAAAAAGTAAATAAAAGAAAATCACTTTCATAGCTCCTGCACAAAACTGGTTAAGAAAAAAACTGTCGTTTAAAAAAAAAACCTCGGATGAACGTACATTTCAATAGTTTTAACTTTTAAAATTACTTTTACTTATATATATACAGTAGGTTAGCATAATGATGCTCAATTTCGACAAAATGAAACTGGAAGTTCAGAGTAGCAAACACGTATCTACCAACTCTGCTAATAAAAATAGTGAATTGGCCGGGCGCGGTGGCTCAAGCCTGTAATCCCAGCACTTTGGGAGGCCGAGACGGGCGGATCACGAGGTCAGGAGATCGAGACCATCCTGGCTAACACGGTGAAACCCCGTCTCTACTAAAAAATACAAAAAACTAGCCGGGCGAGGTGGCGGGCGCCTGTAGTCCCAGCTACTTGGGAGGCTGAGGCAGGAGAATGGCGTGAAC